CCTGCTGAAACATAGTTCATCACATGGTAGAAATGTTACAAAACTCTGACAAACCCAACATGTTTATATGAAGTTCCAAACCTACAGAACTACTGTAAATGTCTGCATTAAGTGACAAATAAAAATCATAAGGGCAGGTGGTTTAGCATTCACAAACTATTAAATATTTCTCTTCATTAGATTTGTGATTTCTTTTCTGGTCTGCTTATTTCTATACAGCCTTCTCTTCTTCCAGAATTATTTGGTTCTCCTGATTCCAAGTTTGTGCACAGAGTTCCTCACTCTTTAGATCCTTGAATGTACCTTCTTTCTGCACACCATTCATTTGGGGGTGTGGTCTTATGTCTGGATGTTCCTTCTTATATAGTGCAGCTCTCTGCAGATTTCCTCAGAGTAGCAAGCAGCTTGGCACAGAGAACATTTGGCTTTTGAAGTTTCAAACTTGCCTTTAGAATCATCAGTTTTGAGTATTCTTTACCAGCAGAAATATCATATGGGAATAAGAGAAGCGGGAAGGATATCCAATTATTTTCATCACAACATAGCAGGGTGACAGCTTCTAGACACTTGCAAAAGAATATATGGCTAAAGCAGTGGATAGAAATTCACAGCTAGCTCATTGATGCACTTTGATGCCAGACCATCAGAGTGCTTTTATGCTGAAACCAGGAGTTTACAAAGTATTTCGAACTTTTCATTGAGATAACTAGAGTCTGGATTAAAGACTTTTGAAGAACAAAACTCTAGGAATAACCTTGTTTCAGAAAAACCTCAGAGCAGGCATTATGGAGCACCATTCTTAATAGGTGTTCATACAGTGACTGTAATTAGTTCTTTTAGAAAAATATAAAGTGGGAGCTGTGCTGTTCAGGGTCTTTCTCTTCTGAATTAGTAGTGATTTATCCCTTGCTTGACTATCCTACCATGTACCCATACTTCTGCACAATAAGGATTGAGCAGAGCTAAAGCTCTTTATCTCTTTCTTTTCACTTGTCAGCCTGCCACAGAAACTGTGCAGATGAACAGTTGCTTTCTGTTTTGTTTTCTACCTTGTAATAGTCAACCCTCATTAATAGTAAAATCTTTGGGTGTTCTGTGTCCACTTTGTATATTAGAGCAAGGTAAAAATATCAACTGCTTGTGAAAGAGTAGGGGATATATATAACAGAACACACTGTGTCCACTTTGTATATTAGAGCAAGGCAAAAATATCAACTGCTTGAGAAAGAGTAGGGAATATATATAACAGAACACATTAGGAATGATGTCATAGTAATAACACAGTTTGCAAGACTAAGCATAATCTTTATAGAAGCTGTAAGAGAGTGAGACAGCTCTGAAGTAGACCAGACAAAAAAATCCAAACAACCTGCTTAACTCAGAGGAAGTTATGTTT